TGGTCTCTTCTCCCAGGCAACCAACAGGAGGACAAGAGGGCACAGACTCAAGCTCAGCCAGGGGAGGTTTAGGTCAGATATTAGGAAGAGATTTTTTAAGGAGAGAGTGATCAGGCGTTGGAATGGGCTGCCCAGGGAGGCGGTGGATTCACCATCCCTGGAGGTTTTCAAGCTGAGACTGGATGTGGCACTTAGTGCCATGGTCTAGCAACTACGGTAGGGTTGGACTTGATGACCTTTGAGGTCTTTTCCAACCTGGTTGAGTCTATGATTCTATGATTCTATGACTGCGTGTTTTGTATAAATCTAGACTAGGACCCTAAATAAATATATAGAGCACAGTAGTTAGGAGTTTTTTAATCATAGATTCATTTCATTCAAAGATAGAGAAGAACAACAACTGAAAAAACATAACAATGGGGCATGGTGCAAAGGTAAGAAGAGGAGAAGCAGAGTGTGCCAGTCACTTGGGGAAGTATTGCAGTATAATGCAGCCCATGCTGTACAGTGGACAACACAGTATTGACATCAAAAATGAAGCATCATGAGCTGCTGAAGTACTAGAAGATTTTATTTTAAGGACATTTGGGCCTAGATCATTTGCAGAAATAAATTGTCTCATTGTATCCAAAAGCAACTACTTCCTATCAGTGTATTAAGAATAATAGGACATGGCATAATGGGTTCAAACGAAGGAGGCAAAGTCTAGGTTGGATGTGAGAAAAAAGTTTTTCCTGTGAGGGTGGTGAGACACTGGCACAGGTTGCCCAGGGAGGCTGTGGCTGCCCCGACCCTGGCAGTGTTCAAGGCCAGGTTGGATGAAGCCTTAAGCAACCTGATCTAGTGGGGAGGTATCCCTGCCATGGCAGGGGGTTGGGGCTAGATGATCTGTAAGGTCCATTCCAACCCTTAAATTCTATGATTCTATGAATGCCATATACTTAATCCACACTGTACTTACCTAAAATAATTTAAAAATCACATTATCTTTTCTGGCTGTGATGTCCAGATTTTGTTACTTAACCACTAGTCATCTGCTGGCCAGCTGCTCCAGTAGCCTGTTTCTGCTCTAGTGCCCAGGAACTGCGGCTGGTTAGAGAAGCCAGAAGGAACAGAAGGGCCCAAGACAGAGGCAGTGTCCAGCACTGCCAGCAGGAAGCAGAGTTGAGCTCCACCAGCCACAGTCATGCTGCTGCTGCTCTCTCACCCTGGCCATGCACTGACAAAGTTCCCTTCCTGCGCTGGTTCCACATTGTCACAGCTAAGCAGCTCTGCAGGTTTAGGCAGCTTGCAGAGTTTTACATGTTATGTGTTGTAAAGATACAGAAATAATGTTGTAATATGTTTTCCATGTGTAAGTCCTTATATTTTATTTAGATGATATTAAAGCTTCAAAACAGCATTATAAAACTGTTAAAATCTTAAAGCATGTTTGGAGTCTGTGCACTTATGTTTATTTTTAGGTGGTTACTCTTTATGGGTCATCATTACTTGATGCTTCAGTGCCTGCTGGACAAGAGCTGGTAATAAAAGGTGCTTCAAGACCTGGACTTGTAACTAAGAATGGTCTAGTCGTTTTTGGAAATGATGGGAAGATGGTAAGTGCTCAGTCTGGCAAACATAAACATGGATAGAATAACCTCAGCAAGAAGTGCCACTGATGTGGAATTGTCAGGCTGTACCAATCCAGCTGCTAATGACAGCTAATTCGCTTGGAGTTTATCAAGAGACATTTATGACTTGTTTCTCATTCAATCCATATTCTTTCCATATGGAGTAAAATGTATTAATGTTGAAGTGCTGGTTCTGCCCTCGGGGGCACAACAACCCCATACAGTTCCAGGCTGGGGGAGGAGTGGGGAGAGAGGTGTTGGTCCCAAAGGGACTTGGCAGTGCTGGTGGCAGCGGCTCAGTGTTAGCCCACAGTGTGCACAGGTGGCCAAGGTGGCCAAGGGCATCTTGGCCTGGCTCAAGCACAGTGTGGCAGCAGGACTAGGCCAATGTTCATCCCTCTGGACTCGGCACTGGGGAGGTCACAGCTCAGTGCTGTGCTCAGCTTTGGGCACTCACTGCTGAGCTGGGCATTGAGGCTCTGGAGCTGGGCATTGAGGCTCTGGAGCCAGCCGAGGAGCCGAGGGCAATGAGGGCAGCAAAGGGCTGGAGAACATGGGGAAGGGCTGAGGGAGTTGAGCTTGGTTAGCCTGAAGAAGAGGCTCAGGGGTGACCCCATGGCTCTCTGCAACTCCCTGACAGGGCTTGGAGAGAGGTGGGGGATGTCTGTCCTGCCATGGCTGCAGGGAGAGGAGTAGAGGGAATGGCCTTGAGCTGAGACAGGGCAGAGTCAGATTAGATGTTAGGAGATATGTTTTCCCTGTGAGAGTGTTCAGGCACTGGAATACTGCCCAAGGAGGTGGTGGAGTCACCATCCCTAGAGGTGTTTAAGAGGCATCTGGATCTGGTGCTGGAGTATATGGTTTAGGGTTTAGGGGTTCTAGCAGTGACAGGTTAATGGTTGGACTTGATGATCTTAGAGGTCTCCTCCAACCCTGATGATTCTATGATTCTGATACTAGGAAAGAATCTGAAAGACAGGCAGGAGCAGCTGGTGCTTAATTTCCTACATCATCAGCTTCCCTGCAAACCACTTATTTAACTCTTTCAGTGACCATATTAATGCCAAAAAACTCTTCACACAAGGATGTACCTGACAGACCATTTAAAATCATATCCTCTCATTTTTCAGGTGCTAGTGAGAAATCTGCAGTTTGAGGATGGAAGAATGATCCTTGCATCTAAATATTTCTCTGCCGATGAAACAGCTGCCCTGGAACTTACAGAAGAGGAGAAAAAGATGGCAGAAGATATTAGGGTAATTCAATAAACTGCTTTAGTAGGACATTGCTTCAGACAAAAGCAGTACATACTTACTGGCAAGATATGTCTTTTGTTTAGTCATGCAAATTGTTTTTTGATAAAATGTACTCAAAGAATATGGAGATGAATGTTTGGTTCCTGACATTAATTCAGGTGGAATTGGGAGTTCAGTAGAGTACTTGTATGTCACTTTACAGAGTTTCCTTTCAGATACACAGACAGTGATTGTAGGATCAGCTGTAGTAAATACCTATATGGTAAAATATCTATGAATATTGAAGGTGGGAGTGGAAAACCAAATGGACCTTTGCATCACAGCTCTGATGTTCTCAACACTGACTGTCTTGGAGAGTTGTGAAATCCTTTCTTCACTGTGGTGTCAACGACTAGGATGTGCTCAGCATGGTCTTGTTGAACAAACTCCACAGAGTCTTAGAACGGCTGTCTGAAAGAGAAAAGCAGCAGTTTTCTCACTGTACCTGTGTGCTCTGTCTCCTTGTATCACAACCCCACACAAGGGGCTGGCTGGAAGAGGGAAGGGACAGCTGGAGCAGGAAGATCCAGAGAGGCACTTTCCTGCCCTGTCCTGAAATCCATCCCTCTGTAGTAGGTGTCAGGGGCTTAGCTGAAAGCCAGATTTGTCATTAGATTTTTGTGCAACAACAAATGAATCATAGATGTACTCAGAGAATATGGGGCTGAATGTTTAGTTATTGACTTTAATCCAGGTGGAACTGGGAATTCAGTAGAGTACTTGTGTGTCACTTTACAGAGTATACACAGACAGTAATTGTGGGATCAGTTATGGTAACTCCGATTTTTGCTAACTCTGCTACAGGGTTAATAACTTCTGGCAGAGGTCAGTTAGCTTGATGCGCTAATAATTTCAACTGCAGCTTCAAGATTACCTTGACCCTGCTTGCCAGCAACCTAAATGCTGCCTGGAGCTATTGACTGACTGAGGAAACAGCAAAACGACATACAAACTCATCAGTTCATCACACTACTGGCTATGTCTGAAATCTCATTATGACTATTCATTACCATCTCACACATGCAGCTTAAACTATTTCCCAGCTCTGTGTGGGTGCCTGAAGTGCCATCAGACTAGTCGCAAAGTGCTCTAAGCTGTCCTTGCTCTGTGTGTTCCATAATGCAATGGGAAGCTGTTATTTGGAGAATAAAACTCTTCAAACAATGGGACTGAAAATTACAATTGTACCATTTACGTATCTTGCCTGATTAGGTGAAATTATCATGGACAAAATACTATATTTTGATCAGACAATTATTCTGGAAAATGTATGTTTGATATCAGGTCTCTAGACTGTTCTAGACCCTCTTAAAATAAATGTGTTTTAGAAACCTTTGAAATAACACATGTTCTAGGCACAGACACCTTAGAAAATATGATTTGATGAATACATCTTGCAATTAAGGGATTATTCATTATTGCCTCTGTTATTTTTATGTATTATTAGGCTATTTGGAAGGGAATTTTAAGCAATGTTCCTGTAATTGAGGATTCCACAGACTTCTTCAAATCTGGAGCATCCTCTATGCATGTTGTCAGGTAAAAATATTCAAAATAGCAGAAGTTTGAAGGTAAAGTTAATGAAAATAGTTGTCATGGTGCTTTTAGATCAGAGTTGATCAAGTAGTGTTTAAAAAAACATCATAGAATCAACCGGGTTAGAATAGACCTCCAAGATCATCAAGTCC